TATATATATATATATGTATATAGACCGGACAGCAGGTGAAAGCAAAGGCGCAAGGGGCGGTTGACGCCGTCAAGAACGCTATGAACAATTGAGAAGCTTCTTGTGTGCGTTTTTTTTTTGTTGTTGTCTTTTTCTTTTTATTTTTCTTGCAATAATTCGATGGATTTGACACTATTGAAGTTACCATAAAATGTTGACTTTTGCAGCAATTTTGGAAAATTTTCCTTTTCAATTTAATCGGTCTTAATATACTAGACATGCCAGCTTTATATTCGGGTTTAATAATTATTGGTAAATTATAAATCAATTTCAACTATTATCTCTAGCGATATTATATCAAAACTGTCCTTATTTTATTACACTTCAAACCAAAATTTTTAATATATGACCAATATAACCAATATGATCACCACATAAATTTAAAACGGTATAATCAATGTGAATTTTAACGATATAATTAATGTGACCAATATAATCTTAAAATATATGACGATAATCACATTAGTCACAAAAAAAATATAGAATGATATGCTCTAAAATTCATATATAATATCCTTACATCTAGGTTCAATAAACCAAATAAAAACTAACAAAAAAGGAATAATAATAATAGAAAAGTGTAACGTGGGGACTCCAATTCCTATTGAAGGATCAAATTCTTTCAACTCCAAAATCATTAATGTTTTCTAGAATATGCCTAGTGGTGTATGAGATTCCCCCATTTCCACAACTTGGAGAGGACATTTTTAAAATAAATGTAAGAAATTAAGTCCCTTATTGGATCACCATTTCTTCACTATTTAATTTTGTTTTACCTATTTTATAAAATGAGTGAAAGAAAACTATATATATATATATATATATATATATATATATATATATAGTTTTCTTTCACTCATTTTATAAAATAGGTAAAACAAAATTAAATAGTGAAGAAATGGTGATCCAATAAGGGACTTAATTTCTTACATTTATTTTAAAAATGTCCTCTCCAAGTTGTGGAAATGGGGGAATCTCATACACCACTAGGCATATTCTAGAAAACATTAATGATTTTGGAGTTGAAAGAATTTGATCCTTCAATAGGAATTGGAGTCCCCACGTTACACTTTTCTATTATTATTATTCCTTTTTTGTTAGTTTTTATTTGGTTTATTGAAGGTAACATTTTTCTTTAAAAAGAAAAAAGGAATTGGATACTCTTTCCATTTTTTTCCCTAAACTACTTGCTGAAATTTCAATTAGGACCATGATCAATATACCGGGAGGTTGGGGTTCGATTCCTTGTCCGCTCACCTCCCACGTGTGTTGCACACTCGTGCGCATGGACGTGGGGTTTACTCTGTGCGCCTTATACCCACTTCGTGGTGATCGAGCATTAGGCGCACATGGTGGTCAGGTCTCTTTGAAATCGTTAGGCGCAAGTGGTGGCCAGTTCGATTCCACCGGTAAAGGTAAGGGTTGGATAGCAACTGTTGTTCCAACGTTAACAAAAAAAATCCAATTAGGAAAAAAAACATGGGCTCACTTTGGTTTGTAGTTACAGTCACGTAAGGAGAACAAATTAGCACTCGAGTACAAATAATATTTTTATTTTTATTGTTAATGATAACTTGAAATTAGTACTATCTAATCCCACATTCTGTCGTTTAGTTAGGATATTTTTAATTATTCAATTCTGATTTTTAATTGAATTGGTTGTCTTGGAATAATATATATATATATATATAAATGTAAATATCATATCCTAATTCGTTTAATTTTGAACTTGTAATTCGAGATGTCAATTTATTATTGAAAGACGAACAAACAATTCCGATCGAAATTTTGGGAAAAAAAATCTCAATATTCAGCAGATAAATAATTAAAGATTACATTTGGGTTTGTATGCTTTCAAGTATATATCACTATAGATAACAAAGCAAAAATATGAATATTTGTTCCACTAGCTAGAATTTTTTTCCCTATTTCAGTAAACATAACCAAAATAAAAATATTCCATCACCAAATATGCCAAAAAAATAGCATATAGTATGAATTTTATAATTATTAATTGGAAATACGTTTACTAAAATCCAACAAGTATTGACGCATATATGAAACAATGATTCGTTTAAAAAAAACTAAGTAAAATTTTGAACAATTACCTAATATTTTTCTATATCAAGATTTAAGTTTGTTTTTATCCTTAAATATATATTATAACCCTAAACGCTAGATTAACAACAACATTATCTATATATTAAAGGAGTGAAATGTACAGAGAATTCGGAACAAGAATCTGAAAGATTTTTAGGTTAGAAACGAAATGGGTCCATTGACACCTCACTAAGTCCTTTTAATGTCTTCGCACGACAACACGGAAGAACAGAACATCAAAAACCCATGTTCACATAAGCAGCTTCCACTACTCTTCTCTCTCATACATTCAATGGAGGTTTCTGCAACTTCCATGGCCGCAAACCCAGAAGATACTTGGAACCCTTGTTCGATAACCGTGTCAACGAGAGGAGACGAGAGTCCAAGGCCACAGATCCAGACCCAGACCAGATCTGAACATGTCTCGAGTCCTTACCCGACTGCATTTGTTCAAGCGGACACTTCCAGTTTCAAACAAGTTGTTCAGATGCTCACTGGCTCGCCGGAAACCACCGCCAAGCATCAAGAATCGCCGCCGGGATACAACAAGGGAGGATTATTCTCGATCCCGCCGATCAAGAAGAACAACAGCTTCAAGCTCTACGAGAGAAGACAAAACAGCAACAGCAACAAGAACATGTTCATGATCAACACGTTGATCAACAGCAACAAGAACGTTGATGTTCTGTCATGGTCACAGCCCTAGATTCTCTCCGAGGAAATCGGAGATTCTCCTTCTCTCTCCAAGCATGCTGGAGTTTCCAAATCTAGGGCTAAACAGCCCTCTCAGCAACGATGACCCCTTCAGCAAGGCATCTCCTTTCTCTCCGTCGTCTGGTTCCTCATCAGGAGAAGCAAAAGCCATTGCTGAAAAAGGGTTTTACCTTCACCCATCACCCATTTCATCAACCCCACGAGACTCCGAGCCTCAGCTTCTTCCACTTTTCCCGGTCACTTCGCCAAAACTATTCTATGATTCATCATCTCCTTCACATAGAGAGGATCAGTGATCGAAGTCTGATTTGTTTCAGTTACAACTTCTATTCCTTGTAATATGTTACATAGTATGTTTAGCCTCTTGTTTCCAGCGGTTTGCTTACTGTCGTCTATGATACCGAATTTGATCTATCACTCTCCTATATGATTTTGATACAGTGCTTAATCACCAATATAATGATCACGTGATTAATTATATATAGAGAATCGGTTCGAATTCTGGTCTAATTAACACATATATAGTAACAAGTTTCTCTCCTCATAATAAAAACCACGAGTAATTAATTATCCGAAGAGATTTTCAACGTTTTCAGACCCGATTCAATCATATTTCAAGATTTATGTTGTCGGATGACTTTGATATTTTCTGAGTCAATAATCATGCAAGCACGTTGGTTGATCACTCTCATGAGAAAGTTAAAGGCGTTTATGATGAGAGTTGAGAAAAAAAAAATGTTAAACAAAAGGCGGAATTTTTTTTTTTATATAATCCGAAATTTCACCATAACTTCTAGTCTTCTACCCAACTATATTTTTTTTTTTTCACGACAGAGAGAAAAATATCAATGTATTTAAAGAAAATGCATGATATAGATCAGGGTATTGGAAATGACAACTAAAGTGTCCTTTTTATGTATGGTTATGTACTTTGTAATTAGATTATATATGGGTATTAAATAATAAAAACAAATTACGAATCCATTATTATTATTATTATGATTATTGACCATATATCTTCCATTATCTAATTTTATCCGAATCAAAATTGATTTAAAAATGAATTAAACTAAAGGAGACTTAAGAAATCGGATTGGAAACAAAATATTTTGAAAATTATTTTCTATAGAACATGATCCAGATAGAATGGAATAAAAATTAATGGAGAATGTTATTAACTTTCTATTGGGTTTAGTGGCAAATGATTTAGTTTCCACAAATCATGAAGCTAAGATCCAATTTTCTCATCCCAGACAATAAAATCTTTGGTTAATTAAGTTAAATCTTCAGAACTGGAATAAACATAAAATCAGTGACAAATTGAAACTTTGTTTTGGCAAATATATATTTCTACATTGATTACAAACAAATCAGATCTCATTCATACATAGCATGTGATTCTAATAAATCATAATTAATATAGCAAATGTAGATTAACAGAACGATTTATTTTCGGTTAAATATCATAAACTTAAATAAAAACAATTATTATACGATAATGAGATTTGGTGCACCAATTCTTATAAAATTAATACAGCAAATGTATATGCTAATTTTTATTTCATTGCCCTGATTGGCTACATTCATATTTAACACAGAACGTTTTACCTTCGGTTAAATATTCATAAAACTTAATTAAAAACAATTATTATCCGAAATTTTTTTAAAAAAAAATACACCAACCAAAAAACATCAACAGAACAGAATTCCCGAAAGCACAGATTTGAAATTAAAATAAAACCAGAATACAATAAACGAAATTGAATAAGCCATGCAAGGGCCCATGGGACTAGACAGACATAAACACGGTCAAAGCCATACTTAACGCTGTAGTAACCGACATAACGGCCAACATACTCCCCGATGACTTTGCCGGAGCCGGCGCCGGAACCATAATGTCGTCGGAGCTGTTCGGAGATTCCGTCGGAGAAGGAGAAGACTTCGGAGGTAGCTCCGGCGGTGGGCCAACCGGGGCCGGTGACGGAGAGGCCTTCGGAGAACTCGGCGGTTTTGTTGACGGGGCAGGAGAAGCCGGGGAAGGAGATGACCGCGGAGTTGACGGAGATTTCGCCGGGGCATGTGACGGTGAAGCGGTGGGTGAGTGAGGAACAGGGGAAGGGGACGACGGCGGATTTGACGGAGACTTCGCCGGAGATTTAGACGGAGAAACGGTGGGTGAGTGAGGAACAGGGGAAGGAGACGACGACGGAGACTTCGCCGGAGATTTAGACGGAGAAACGGTGGGCGGGTGATGAACAGGGGAAGGAGAAGACGACGGAGACTTCGCCGGAGCATGAGACGGAGAAACGGTGGGCGAGTGATGAACAGGGGAAGGAGACGACGACGGAGACTTCGCCGGAGCATCGGCGTGGGGAGGCTTAGACCGGACGGATAAAACGACAACGATCAGTTTCTGTCCTTTCTTACAGTGATCTTCGTTACCACTGATGAAATAAAACGGACCAGAACGAGCAAACATGAACTCAGACTCTCCATCTTCCATTTTCTTGATCGGATTCTTGGAGTTGCAGCTGAAATAATCGGTCTTGCTCACCTGAAGAACCGAATCCGACCCCTTCGCGTACTTAAAATCTGCAAAAGTTATAAAATTCATCAGATACCCATTCGACGAGAACGATGAAAAAACTCAGAAAACAAACGTAGATCGAACAAGAAATTTACAGAGAGTGTCGTTAACACTGAAGCGGGATTTCTCGGCCCACGTGTTGTAATTCTCCGGCGGGTTTATGACCCATCCTCCATTACCACCGACGTAAAACCGTCGAGCTTCTGAAACGGAGAAGAAGGCAAAGGAAACGATGAACACGAAGGAGGAGACTGTTTTCAGACACAGCCCCATGGTTGCAGAAGAAGAAGAAGAAGAAGAAACAGACAGGTGAAAGCGATATGAGACAAGGGTCATATGAATATATACGTGTATGTATATATACACAGAGGGAGGAAGAAGAAATCAGGGTAAAGAGAAGGATCTGGAGAAAATCTGAGAAAAATTACAGAAACGGAAGGAGGAGATACGTGGAGATGTCGAGGAGAGATGCGGAGAAGGAAAGTGGAGCTTGCCTTAAAAATGACGATATTGTTGTATTTTGTAATGGATTTAGCCGTTTACTAATGCATTTATGGAAATACGTGTGAGAATTCAATCACGTATTAAAAACATTCCATTGAAAGTGTTCATACTATGATTCTCTGTATTGAACGAATTTTATTCAAATCTGATATTTAATTTTAATTTTTTTTGTTCCCTCTTTGGAGTAAATTCACGCGTTATTCCTAAATCTACGAGCTTTTAATTAACGGGGCTATAACAAAAATAAAATCACCCCAAGTTTAATAACTATGACCAGAAAGCTGTCTTAGAAATTCATTACCGAACTTGGAAATTCAAGCGGTTATTACCAATATTTACCAGTATAATAACTATTACACTCAATTCAGTCTTGAATGTCATCCATTCATTGTATGCTATATATTTAAAAATTGGCAAAAATCTGGGTAAATTTAAAATCATTATTTGTATTTTTTTTAAATGAAAAGAGGTACAATGTTCTCGGTGGATGACCATTAAAATTTAAAATCACATTAAAACAAATGGAACAGTAACAAAACTAGAGTGAAATTGAGTCGGTAATATAAAAGAAGACTTGAAACATTTTATGAAAAAAATAAACAAACGTGAAATAGAGATTAGTTTGAAAAACATTGATACAGAAAAATATATATACTATATAATAATATTATTATTTTTTTTATATAAGAAAATAAAAATAACGAATATGCACACCCATTTCTATTGGCCATTTATTATCTGTTTCCAACTTCGTATTCAATATCATGACAATAACATTCTACATTGTTTATTTTTTCCTAGAGAAATTTCAGTAACACCAAACTGTAACATTACTGAGTCTAAACCATATACTCATATATATACATATACATATTATGTATATGTATCTATATGCCTGTTTTTTTTTTTTTTTTTTTTTTTTTTTTTTTTTTTTTTTTTTTTACCCCGCCTCCTCAGAAGCTTGCCTTGTCTCAGTAATGGCAAAAAAAAAAAAGGGCCTCCATATACGAACTCATCCTTCAATGTCTTATTGCACTGCAAAATACACAAGGATCATACCCGAAATTCCGCCATTAAAATGAACTCGGTCATCTCCGTCGAGATGGCTTCTTGGAAGGGGTGAGCTTCCTGAAGCCGGCGTGCAATATCATCACTACGCAACACGCGAAAAAACATCAGAGCTCATGAATTGAAAAGGGCAATATATGTATAGATATATATATATATATATATATATATATATATAACACAAAGCGTAAATGAGAGAGAGAGAGAGAGTTCAGTCTGCACCTGCATAACTGATGGCAAGTGCACAGAAGAGAGCCGTTTGGACATTCAAAAGCGTCAGAAGAACTACAGTTGCTGCCAGGAGAGAAGGGAAAATAAAGGAACTTTTAAGTGTGTATATATGTACTTGGTTGTCTAGATGGGACGAGAGTAAATCCCAAAGGTTGGGTTCTGCGAAAATCGGTGTCTTCAGGTCGGTACTATCGGTTTCCAGTAGGCGACTAACGAGCAACATTTCGAACCAATTCTCGGCTAGAAAGTTGCTCGAAACCAAAGGTCTCTCCTTTCACTTGCATCGAGCTTTCAGAGCATTTTCGTGAGCTTAAGATTATATAAACAAGTTGACGAATCCAAAAGGCAGCTAACATAGATTGCACTAAAACCACACCAAACTCTGAGCTGTTTAGAGATTCTTACGAGACATAAGGGAGAATCATACGATATTCTCCAACACCATGTAACCTTATTAGCTACAGTCCAAAAATATAGCAAGAACTTTGATCAGAAGCCTTACCGCACTGTGCAATACGAATCAGAAACTGGCGAATTGCAGGGTAACGATCGAATTCCCATTTGCCATTGCAGAATTTGAACAATTCCCAAAGGGCCAGACTGGCTAACAACCCAACCAGAGCAAGTGGCATTTGATACCTACAAAAGAACAAAACCCCAAGTCAGAGCACCGGAATTTCAACGATCAAGCAATACCCAAATCTTGAATTCGTAGTTAATCGGATCATCCAGCTGTTTAAGCTTTTTGCCCAGTAATTGCCAACCCTAAAGAGAGAAACTTGGAAAGGATCAAGCCACAAAATCGGAGAAATTAAGCGAATTGATTCATACAGAGCGCAAGCGAAGAAGACGATGAAAAGCGTGGCGTAATTCCTGGCGAACCGCTTGACGTTCTCGTGGACCCTCATCCTCGCCTGCTGAGAAGACGACGGGAACGAGTACGAGTCGACGGAGCCAAAGAATCCGGTGGTCCACGGCGGCGTATCTCCGGAGAAATCATCGGCGGCGAGTTTCGCAAATGGGTTGAAAGCGAGGAGGGATAAGAGAGTGATGAACCGCGACAAAAGAGAGGCGAAGAACCCACCGGTAATGGAGGGGGAACCCCCGTCTCAAAAAGCCGAGGCGGCTGCGGCAGCGGAAGACGATGCCGCGGCGGATGCAGCGGCGGAGGTGCGGTGGTCGAGGAGCTCGAGATAGCCGGAGTCTCGGAGCCATGACTCGAAAGCTGCGTCGGGTACGCTTAGCGAGAGAGGGTTCGCAGAGAACGCCATTTGCGTGTCTTCTCCTCGAGTCTCTCTCTCTCTTGGAATTGTCGAAAAAAATAATTTCTTTTTATATATAATGTTATTAATTTAGTGGTATCAGCAAAAAAGAGAAATACCCATTACCAGAGCTCGCCAAAATAGACAGACAATGAAGTAGCTACATGGCTAAAGACATTGATGATCTGAGATTCCGACAACACTGTAAGTTCTTTCCGTACACATCTATGAACTTCCTGCTACGGATTTCTACAACAACAACAACAACGACTTGATTCTGACTGATTATTGCACAAAAGCAAAGAATTTTACTACAACTGCATATTTTCATTTGGAGCTAAGCCTAAGATAAATGATCTAAGCGTCATCTGCGTCGCTCGTGCTACCTCGGGTATCTATGTAAACCTCCGTTGATAAGTCGATTTCATCCACGATCCGTCCTCTGAACGATGGAAACACCGAGATTTTGAAGGGTTTAACGAATGATGATGAAGTGATTATGGTAAGGATTTAGTGAGAGCTTAGGAGATTGATGTTTACCTCTCGAGAACGAATTTGCCTTCTTTGTACTTTTGAGTTTTCTCGCGGGCCGATTCCTGCAGAGAGAAGCAGTGATGGGGAGATGAATGAGCAAATGCTCTCGTGGCTGTATCTATATACAAATGCATATAGTAAGCATCCTTATAAACACGTAAATGCAAGCATATATATAAAGAGAGGGATTACATATTTCCAGCCAACGATCTGTCCGCAACAGCAGCAAAAGATATCAGCCACAGTGTGCAGACCCGAAAGCATCATCCGATCTTCTTGAGGACCCATACTTATGTTTACCCTGAATTCACCAACACTTTAAGTATCTTCTCTGCTATACCAAAACCCCAATTGCAAAAGGGTTTATCAAAAGAAAGATAAAGACTGGTTTGTTTATAAGGGTTCCATACAACAATCCGCGACTCTAATCGTCACAGCAATTCTATGATACTAACTACTACAATCCAGGAATTCAATTTCATCTATAGATTACTGGCAATTCACATTCTTACTCTATCGCATATAACTTATCCAGCACATAGAATGGTAGCAGGCAGCAGCTGCCATTTTTTCCTGGCTGTACAAAAGATCCGGTTGGAAATAGAATAAGGCAGCCGCTTTCCATGGACACTTTGACAAATCAGACAAACAAGGAAAAGAAGTACATCTAAGCTTGAAGACAACAGATGGAGACACATAAATCTCGTCAGGGTGCAGAAATTTGCCCATCAAGAGACTGAAAAAGGATCCATAGAGGAACTTACGCACGATTGAAGAGGTAGGCCTTTCCTCTCTGGCAATGGAACGACTGTCAAAATCCAATCAGAAAATCACCGATATCCATTGTTAGAATCACGAAACAACTGATACATCACCTAAACATGAACAGCAATCATGCTAGCTAACATACGCAAGGGTCATACTTAAAATGGAATACGAGAAGCAAGCAGAAACAGAACAAAGATGCCTCTCCCAAAATTCGAGAAACATAAAAAAAGAGAAGTATGAACAGAAAACCAAAAGGGTACTCGAAAAACCCAAACTTTGTGTTAAATATCAATCACCAGAACCGAACCGTGTAAAACCAACAAAAACACATTTGCTTTAAATCTTCTGCAACATATATCTATTCTACAAAAATCTTCCCGCTGTCTCGACGCCAGCAGTATATTTCGTCAATCTTCATAAAATTGGTGGATAATTGAGAACGAAGATAAAATCACAAAACCAGACAACCTTCGTGTTCTTAGCATACAAACTATCAGACGTCAGACGAATACGGATTGTGCCGAACATGAAAAATTACCCGGGAAACAAGGTCATCGGGAACAGCGAGATGGGTTTTGCAGAACCTGCATCTGTAAGATCTTCCCTCCAGCTCCACCGTAAATATCCTTCCCATTAGTCCTCTCTCTCTCTCTCTCTCTCTCTCTCTCTCTCTCTCTCTGTGTTTTTTTCTTCCTTCAAAGCAGCTTTCGTTCACTCCAGTGTCGTTCTTCTCTTGAAGACCCAAAGGGCCGATTTAAGTCGTGCTGCACTCCGACAACGTACGCATAAAATGGGCCCTAATGGGCTCAATTTCATAATAAGGGTTCGAGAATAAAACAAAATGAAAGTCAATAATTGCTTCCGGTTTTGACTTTTCGTTCTAACCGTTAGAAAAACCGACAAACTATTTAATCCGATTCAGTGACAACAAAAAATAAATAAATAAATTTCACGCGGAAGGGATGAAGATGTAGATATATATATATATATATATATATATAGTACTATCATTATAAAGATTTCCATAAAAATATTTGGCACCAAAGGTACAAAATTTGAACATTCAAAGAACCCAAAAAAAATATGTGATAGAAAATGAACGAACCGAGTTATCACATCGTCCATTAAACTCGGTACTTAAACTCGGCAATGTCACCGACCACGAAAAAAGCCAGTTTTCCCGAGGATGAAAAGGGTGAATCCAATCACATTTATGTACAAGTCGTAACAACCCAACCCTAGCTAATTTAGGAAGAGAACATATCAAATCTAAACAAATATACAACTGAATATATCAATATATATCTGTAGATATATATTGCCATTACCCCCCTCAAGTTGGTAAGTGCAAGTGTTGCACACCCAACTTGTCAAGAAACCAAGTAAACTCCTTCTTGCCCAATGCTTTGGTGAAGATATCGGCGAGTTGCTCATGCGTCGAGACATGGTTGGTGACGATGTGTCCATGAGCGAGATGATGACGGATGTAGTGGCAATCGACCTCGATGTGCTTAGTGCGTTCATGGTACACGTCGTTGTGGGCAATATGCAAAGCGGCCTGGCTGTCGCAAAACAACATCATTGGCGATGAATGATCTACACCGAAACACGATAGTAAACTCTTGATCCATAATAATTCACATGTAGTAACGCGCATTGCCCGGTACTCGGACTCGGCCGACGATAACGATGGAATGGACTGCTTTTTGGTTTTCCATGAGACCGGTGATGTACCGAGCTGAATGAACCAACCACTAATCGACCGACGAGTAACGGGACAACCAGCATAGTCGGCATCGCACCATCCGTGTAAGCGTAAATCCGAATCCGCGCGAAAAACGAGCCCTTGGCCAGGATCCGACTTTAAGTATCGAATGACATGGATCGCTGCCGCCCAATGATCCTGCCGGGGGTTCTGCATGAACTGCGAAAGTACATGCACAGAATAACAAAGTTCGGGTCTAGTCACGGTGAGATATATGAGCCGACCCACAAGTCTCCTGTAACTACTCGGGTCAGCTAGGAGGGGACTATCGGACAATGAAAGACGATGATTCTGATCCATAGGGAAACCCACCGGTTTGCACCCGAGCATGCCAGCCTCCGAGATGATGTCGAGCGCATATTTCCTTTGACTCACATGTATCCCAGTGGAATTTCTAGCCACCTCCAAACCGAGGAAAAATTTCAAGGGTCCCAAGTCCTTCATGTGAAAGCACGAGCATAAGTACCCTTTGAACGCGTGGAGAGCGATTGACGAATTCCCGGAGATAATCAAATCGTCCACGTAAACAAGAACACATAGCTGGGTTATTCCCTCGCGAAAAGTAAAAAGAGAATGATCGGATTGAGATTGAACAAAACCGTACTCCAACAAGGACGAGCGCAACTTCTCGAACCAACACCGGGGAGCTTGGCGAAGACCGTAGAGTGACTTCCGAAGCCGACATACACCATTGGAACCATGAGAATCAAAACCCGGAGGAAGTCGCATGTACACTTCTTCGCGTAAGTCACCATGAAGAAAAGCGTTGTGTACGTCCACTTGATGAATTTCCCAATTTCGAGCAGAGGCAACCGCGAGAAAAGTGCGAACAGTTACCATCTTAACCACTGGTGCAAACGTCTCTCCATAATCTAGCTCATCAACTTGACGATTGCCAAGAACCACCAAACGCGCTTTATACCGTTCGACCGAACCGTCCGATCGATATTTAATCCGAAATATCCACTGACAACCAATGGCCTTCTTGCCCGGAGGAAGTGGTTCGATAGTCCATGTCTTGTTCTTTACCAAGGCATCAATCTCCTGTTGCATGGCTGTCTTCCATCGGGGATCTCGATTTGCCTCCTTGTACGAACGCGGTTCAACACCCTCCGAAACAGCGGCTAAGAATGCACGATGAGACGAAGAGAAATTAGAACAGCTAACAAATCGTGTGATAGGATACGGTGTACCTGAGGGGTGATGGAGATCGGGTGAACTAGGAGACGGGCTCAATACACAGACGGTGTTTGTGACATGTTCCTTAAGACGTGTGGAAGGGAACTTAGCACGTTTTCCTCTGCCTAATTCCTCTGTGGCAACAGGAACATGTTCGGTGATATCGGGGACAACTGAACAACCCCCCCTGTCGCTCGGACTATCGCCGAGTAATCCAGCTGTCGGTGTGTCATACTCCTCGGCCGCGGAATCCGACACGTTGACAGACAATGGCACCGGCGATGGCAAGGTAAGTGGAATATCTTCTTCCTCAAGTAACACGGGCCAAGAAACCGAAACAGGATTTTCCGAAGATGATTGTTGGGGAATATCGGGGTCAGCGAAGGGGAACTTGTCTTCGCAGAAAGCTACATCACGGGAAACAAAAAAACGTTTCCTCTCCAAGTCATATAGGCGCCATCCTTTCTTACCGAACGGGTAACCGGCAAAGACGCATCGAATACTTCGAGAAGAGAATTTGTCGCCTTTATGATCCTTGTTATGAGCATAACATAAACAACCCAAAGTTCGAAGATGGGAGTAATCTGGTTTGCGGCCATGGATAACTTCGAATGGAGTTTTTCCGGATAGAACTGCTGATGGAGTCCGATTGATAAGGAACCCGGCGGTCAACACACAATCTCCCCAAAACTCGATCGGAAAACAACCCTGAAAGAGCAGTGCGCGAGCCACGTTCAGAATATGGCGATGTTTCCGTTCAGCACGTCCATTTTGTTGTGGGGTATCCACGCAAGAGGTCTCATGTACTATTCCATGACGACGAAAGTAGTCACGAAGACAAACGAACTCGGTTCCGTTGTCAGAACGGATTGTACGAACTTTCTTATTAAACTGTCGATCAACCATCGCCACAAACTCAACAAGATGGTGCGAGACCTGACTCTTATCGGACAAAAGGTAGAGCCAAACTCCGCGCGAGTAGTCGTCCACGATTGTAAGAAAATATTTGGCACCGCAAAACGCCGGCGTGCGATAAGGGCCCCATAAATCGCAATGGACTAGCTGAAAAATCTCGTTTGTTTTATTTGAACTTAATGGGAACGAAGAACGAGTTTGTTTGGCTCGAAAACAAATATCGCAAGAATCAACCGAAAAATCACTACTCAACCGGGAAACATCTCCGACAACTTGCTCCACTATCTTGAACGAGGGATGTCCTAAACGCTGATGCCACACGCCTAAAGGAACCTTGGCACAAGAACCAACAGCCGCCACAGTATCAACTCCTCGGAAATAGTAGAGCCCGTCGCGGAGTTCACCCGCTCCAATCAGCATCCTCGTACGTTGGTCCTGAATAACACACAATCGGTTAGTGAACTGTATTATACAATCACGATCGTCCAAAAGCTGAGAGACGGAGATGAGATTAACATGTAATCCCTCGACGAAATACACATTCGACAGACAAAGATGTGGTGTTAAACACACGGTGCCGGACTGAGAAGCGAACGATTGTCGTCCATCAGGAAGAACGATGCCCGACGGTGTTATTGGAGACATGTTCGTCAATAATTCAGTTCGTCCTGTCATATGGTGCGAAGCACCGGTGTCGAGTATCCAAGGGACAACAGAACACATACCAGATGCAGTCTCCGTCGCTCCGATTTTCCCGGCATTGAGGAGCGAAACTAATGTTTTCCACTGATCGTTGCTGAGACCACTTACAGGAGGTTTGTCGGAGTCGAGAAGCACTGGAGAAGATGCAGAAGACGCAGCCGTGACTGCGTTCGAACGAGCCACACCACGACCGCGGAGACTGGAAGAACCACCCCGACCACGACTTGTTCGGTTCCGAGGACGATCTCCCCACCACTCTGGAAAACCAAGGATCTGAAAACAGGCCTCCGCCGAATGTCCTGTGCGACCACAGTTAGAACAAACCAATGTTTTGTCCTTGACAGCAGGTGGCGCACGAGGTTTGTCGACCGAAACGGCAGAGAACGCCGAAACATCAGCAACGTCAGCAATCCTAGACAAAGAACCCTTCGATTCTTCATCCTGAGTAACGATCAGGTAGGCTTCCTCGACTGTGGGAAGAGGAACACGGGATAACAACGTCGATCGAACCACGCCATACTTGTTGTCGTCCAAACCAAGCAAGAATTCATACAGTTGATCCTCCTGTTTTTGTTTTTCCAACTCAGTGATAAGGTTGCATGTGCAAAGACCGCACTTGCAACTCTTCAATACACGAATACTCGCGAGATCGTCCCACAACTTCGTGAGCTTACCGAAATAAGCTTCAATAGACATTCCCTTTTGTCGACAATTCGCTAAATCGGCTCGAAGACGAAGGAGACGAGTGGCATTAGTCACACCGAAACGGCGTTTGAGATAATCCCACAAGTCTTTCGCGAATTCACGATGTACAACGTCGGAACGCAATCCAGGCTCAAGCGTATTCTTGATCCATGAAACGATCAAGGAGTTATTCGTTTCCCAATCATCGTAATCGGGAGAATCCGGATCCGGTTGAGAGATCTTACCATCCACAAAGCCGAACTTCTTCCGAGATTTCAAAGCGTGTCGGATGTTAATGGACCATTCTTCGTAATTGGTTCCGCGTAATAACGGTTGCGAGAGAACCAATCCGGGGTTATCGCTGGGGCTCAAATCGTAAGGAGAAATCGTTCTCCTTGGAACCTCAGAAGTCGCGGTTGTCGGAGTCGAGGACGTCGTCGGAGCAGCAGCCGACGGTGGAGTCGAGATAGTAGACATGGAAGTCGGCGGAAGAACACGAAATCAGAATTTATTGTGCTCTGATACCATGATATAAAAGAGATGTCTGGGAAAAGGTTTTCTGTGTGTATTGCATATGCTCGAAACATGTATTTATGTACAAGTCGTAACAACCCAACCCTAGCTAATTTAGGAAGAGAACATATCAAATCTAAACAAATATACAACTGAATATATCAATATATATCTGTAGATATATATTGCCATTATATATATTATGTCCTAAATATGAGACATAATATAGCGATAAGAGGATTATAAATAAGTTTAAGAATTCGGATCCAACCTTGAGTTCATCCTAAATCTAGAAGAAGAACGTTCGTTTATTCACTAGTTTTCTCGTAAAGTACATGTAACTGTTAAAAGGAAATGAAAACGAAAAGGATGAAGGCCTAATTCTATGTCGAAACTCAATAGCTAGCTAATATATGGTGTTAGCCCATCAATACATCAAAACGACGAAAATACCTTGGGAGTTTAAGGTTCATGCATGACCAAACTTGTTTCCTTCATCGCAAACCTTCCGGTGCGCTCCGAAGGTCTCTGTTCCACGTTTCTTCTTCAACTCTCGCATATGTTGGCAGACATATTTCCTCTCAATGGGATTCTAAAATTATCATTAGTTTTTGACACATTTGTTGTTCTCTTCACTTCACGTCGTATAACGAAAACGTCTAAAACCCCATAGCTTTTGGAATCTTGGGATTTCATCAATGCTCCTCTCTCTCTCTCTCATTTTCAATGATCTTCGTCCAAAACTCGGCTTCGATCCCGTACCTTGCGGCGCGTGCGTTGCCATTTTCATGCACACACATCTCTCTCTCCACTCATTGCATTGCATCTCTTGACCCCATATGCATGCCCATATCACGTGCCTTACCACACCAACCAACGAGAACTCGCCACTCCGCGAAAGGGCTTAAAGATAGAGTACACTACACCACCACACGGCTATCATCGGCTCCATCAGCTGAAGCAGCCGGGAGGTCGGGAGTTTTGATATATATGGTTTCCCACGTGTTTGTCATTTGGTGAGAAAAAAGACATGCATGTACTTGTTGTTTTTCAAGTTTCACGTTCTCTCATCAACTATTCGATGTGCTATATTTGGGGAACATTTAAACAAGGAAGATTGAAGAATACAAATTCAAGAAATTAGTTTTGGTTCGACAACGTAAATCCGTATGTTTTAGTGCGTGTATATATGTATACATATCCGACCCCTGTGTAGTAATATAATTGGTGAATGATAAGATATTACATTGGTAGGCTGTGAATTCAATAGAACAATTAATGCATATTCCGACCATATACCTATATTAAATTTGGAAAAACATTTCTCTATAAAACAATTGAGCATATAAATTTCCACCTTCACAAATTTTGATTCTGTCTCTAATAGCACGACTGCTAATCCATGAAAAAGCCGATTATACATATACACGGATTGAACGTTTGATAGGTAATAAAATATAAAGAAGAGTGCAAAGTATACTGTTACCGCATGTTTAAATCTAGATATGAGGAGGGTTATTTATCAGGATTTCCCCAATTATATAATTGGTTCAATCATATGATAAACTTTAAAATAGAATAAAAAATAAACAGGAAGAGCATTAATTATGTCTATTTGTACAAATAGACACTTGATTGCCCCATCTTGTACTGCAAGTGAGGTGGACTATTTGTACAATTTCTGATATCAATTTTGTCACCACTCATGATTTTCACGCCCTTTCCCCTTCCCCTAAGTGTTGTATCATTAATGTCCATTCGAATTGGTCATACAATCTTGGTCGAGGATAACATCGAATACGGATACAAAATCTGCCCATATGTATAATTGCGTATCCTTTGCTTGTACGTACATGCGTATATAATTGTATGCACTATCAAGACTTGTATAAAAACACTCGAAGAAGATGGTAAGATTTAATTACGTACGTAAACTATAGGCATCAGTGATCATTTTCACAACATAATTAATATATTATACGCTTAAACGGTTCAATAAGCATTTTCCAGCACACCTTCAATCAATGCTAGAAAATAATTTTTTAAAAGGTAAACTAAAACAAACCCTAGAGATAGTTTTGGGTCACGAGAAAACCCTAGTTAGGTATAAGTTCGCCGGGTCTCGTGGTCGTGGTCAGCAGTTCCATATGCAGTCAAGTCCTGCATGAACAAGACCAGCTTTAGTATCGTTATCCTCCGACATCTGCGGCGGCGGCCAGTAGTTGATGGCGGCGGCGTCGTGGGACGATGACAGAAATGCGGTGGCCGGAGAAACGGACGAACCAAAGTACGGCAACTGATTGAAATTCTCGTTGAAAGACCCAAAGTCAGGTAAAGCCGAGACGCCGCCGCCGACGTTTCTTGAAAAGAAACGGGCAAAGGGCTCAAAGCTCGCCGCAGCCGTCGGCGGCGGTGGAGGGAAAAATGGGTCAACGGTCAGGCCCAAGGAATCAGCTGCAGCATTAGTAGTAGTAGTAGTAGTAGTAGTGGAGAAACAGGACACGTGCTCGGCCACCGCTTTAGCGGCCGTGACGGCGGTGGTTGTGGTGCTGCGGCCACCGTAGGAGCTGTTGAAGGAAGCGGCGGCGGCGGCTGCGGTTGGATCAAGAAGAGGAGGGAGAGAGGCGGAGGAAGGGGATCTGGGTTCATGGTAAATCCCACCCACGGCGAAGGGCATTTTGGTCTTTTTGTTAACATCACCGCCTGCACTAGCTCCTGCGCAGCCGGAGCCAGTCTTCTGGAAAACCCTAGATATCACCCACTCATCCTACGCATCGTATGAAACCATCATAAAAGGTCAAATCTTGATTTTGCTCCATGTTTCAGACAAAAACATTTAATGCTACGAGAAGAAAACCATGGTGCAAAGGCGTGTGTCCTTTAATATTTTTAATCAGAAGATCTTGATTGAAGATTGGGTTTTGCATTGGATTTGTCTTATGCATTGGGTTTTCCAAAAGAAGGCCGGTTTTTAAATTTTCTTTAGAGGATGGTAATATGATTGAAATCCCAATAAAGGACTGCACATCTTTTATGATAGCTCATCATGCTCCTAAGGTACTAAACCCTAAGAAATAAACATATACCCTTTTCAGCCATTTCTTTAAATGCCAAGTAAAACTCGTTACAATGTTCATAAAGATTAGAACTTTGATTACAAGAAGCTGGAAAAAAGGGATGATGTCACGTACCTTTGAGCTTCTGGAGATGAAATGGTAGGAGAATTTGCCCTCGAGGCGGTATTCGTGTATGACCCAGTTACTCTTCTCACCCTTTGGAGCCCTTCCTTTGTAGAAGACAAGAGTCTTCTTCATTCCAACAAGGGCACAAGTCTTTGAACTGTATATCTCCCTGTCCTTTCCGGTGGCTTTCCAGTATCCAGCCTCCGTGGCTCTGTTCGTCCTCAGTCCCGTCGGATACTTCCGGTCTCGGAGGCTGAAAAAGTACCATTCTTTCTCTCCTATCTTCGCTTTCTCTGTCACAAACCGACAGAAAGGCTTAAACCAGAAATCTTCTTGGAATGTATGGACAAAAAAAAATGTTTAAGTGTGGTGAGTTATGTGTACCGGGAAGTTCCCAAGGCTCGCACTTGTTGAGATCAACTTCTGCAATGGCTCTGCTGGTGAAGCAATTGTCAAGAACCTTGCGGAGAAGGTAATGAGTGATGAGTTCTTCGTCGGTGGGATGAAATCTGAAGCCCGGCGGGAGATTTTGGCCGTCGGATCCATTGTTGAAGCGGTAGCGAGTAATGTCCATGAAAGAACAGCTTCTTTGATGATGATGATGAAGGAGAAGAGAAAGAAAAGTGAAACTTGGTTTCGCCACAAACCCTACTGCAAGAAAAATACTTTAAAAGAGGAAAATATATTGTGGTGGTGTTCTGCATGAGAAGGAATGGACCGACCGACGTGGTTTATAATGGTGATGGCGATTTTCTTGTCATTGGAATTTGATAAAATCAAAAAACAGCGAAAATAATGGGTGTTTGTTTTTCAATAAAAACATATATTTTTTTTTTAAAAAAAAGCTGTAGTAAGAATAATTATAAAAAAGACAGGTACGTCTATACGTAGGAAAACTGTGTTTTCTCTGGCTTGGCCTGTAGTAAAGCGACCCAAAGCCAAAGGGGATTACATCATTCATATCTCGAGTTATCTGTTTTCTTGAGACATAAAAAATCTAAATGATATTCTTTTAAAATATTTTGCAAATAATTTCATATATAAGTTTGTAACTTGTGATCCAAATTAATAATAATAAATGAGTTTATTTTGTTTAAAATTTTGATCTATTATTTATATACATGTGAAAGCGAAAAATGGGAGAGAGAGAGAGGTCTGAGTATGCGTGCGTGCATGAGAAAAATTTGCAGGGCTGGGCATTCTCTGTCAGTGGTGAAAATGAAAAGGAGATTTACTTTTTACAATTATTTTCAATTTCCTTTTTTTCTTCTTAGTGGCATATAAATTAAATATCATATCCAAGTTGGCGAGTCCACTAAGAGATTGGCGGTTCGATTCCTGGTTGAAGAAGGGTTTTCACATGGGCTGCCTCATTTTTCTGGAAGATGTAGTTGGGCCAAAGGCCTGATAAACTTCCGGATTATAAAAAAATAAAATAAAAAATTAAATATCATATAGAATAATCAAAAATATATATTTTTTAAATAATTGATAGATAAATAGAATAGGAAAACCAAAATGGATAAATAAATAAAATATTTAAGATAAAAGGTGATGCAAATCACCAGCAGTGTCAGCACTGTAATATGATTAAAATTATCAAAATTCGACAGAGACTTCGTTGCTACACGCCACCACCTTCTCCATCTTTCACCTAAAAAATAAAAAATAAACATTTTTATCCTCTCTTTTTTTTTTCTCACTTTTGATTTTGACTTTCTTTTCATATATATTATCAATTCACAACTGTCTGGAATTATGGGCAGAGGAGGTGAATACTTTCAATATAATTATATTTATTTTATATATTAATTCTATCTGAATTTAGTTAGATTAAAATTTTAATTTTTCCAATATAAATATTTAAATTGGATTAATTCAGAAAAAATGATTTAAATAAAGTTATATTCGATGGGTTTTTATATAAAATTTAGAATAAAGTTATACACTATTTATTTCGATACAGTCTTAATATTAATCTATTTTGTTTTTTTCTTTCTAAACTTAAAATAGGCTTGTTTTTTGTGTTAAAATAGTAAAGGCTATTGCTTTGATATGCTATTTTTGACCTGCCACGACTTACTATTACTTATCATTACTCTTTACAAACTGTAACACAAAATATGCTAAACCTACTTATCTGCTAAAATTTAAATTTAAAAAGATCCAAGAGTTATTGTCCGTGCATGATTTAAAATGCATTAATGGTTTACAAAACCGAGATTTTGAATCTACGATGAAAAAAAAATATCTCAAAAATTTATCATATATAAAAATTTGATGATATTAATTTATCTATAATCATTTTATTCGAATAAATAATAAAGATCAAATGGAGTTGTGACAAATATCATATTTTTTTAATTAAACTGAGATAGTTTGTAAATTATTAAGTACATATATATATATGCATATATATGGAATAAAATAATATGAATTTCAAGAATGATTCATTTCAGATTTTGGCAGTAATATAATGAAATAATTGGACAAAATGGTATTTGTAATGTTAGGGATACAATACAGTATTAGAAAAACAGTAGAGAAATCCGTATGCTATGGAATAGTGGTAACAATGCATTTGTTTGACACTTCTTCCATGCTTCATTTATTTACTTTTTTTACTTTCCACTGTTATTAATTATTATCCCACAACACGACAAAGTTACATTTTCAAGTACATGGGTGTGGGGTGGGCAACTAAAGTCGGTCCAACAGCTTTTTATTACAACCTATATATTATTATTATTATTATTATTATTATTATTATTATCACATCATCATCATCATCATCATCATCATCATCATCATCATCATCATCATCATCATCATCATCATCATCATCATCATCATCATCATCATCATCATCATCATCATCATCTCGGCTCGGCTACATTTGTAGCTAGGGATGTAAAACGGATTGACCCGGTCTATTCCCGTTCGACTCGTTTTGATCTGATAAAATTTTAATTCAACCCAACTCGGTCTATTTTTTAACGAGCCAAAAATAGAACAATCCAACCCAGATCACCTTAGCCCACGAGTCAAACGAATCGATCCGCAGCCAAATATATAAATTTTAAAAATAAAAATTATATATTTTTATAAAACATTTTAAATATTTAAAAAATATTTAAGATATAATTAAAATTTTAAAATTTTAAACAAAATAAACTAAATATCTAATAAAAATATAATTTGTATATAAAAATATTTAAAAATATTAATTTTTTTAAAAAAAATATTTTTTTTTACCCTACGAGCCAGCATATAAACTTATCGAGTTGACTCATCAGGAATTAGCCCGTGGACTCATCGAACTAGCTCCCCACGAATTCGGCTCGTGACGGACTAGCTCTTTGGCTCATTTTTTTTTCTGGACTCAAATATTTTGAGTCCGATTCGAAAAAATATGGACTGAGTCGCGAGTGAGGCTCGTTTTATATCCTATTTATAGATTTGTAGCTAAATGTCGTAGTAGTTGATCCAAAGAATTAAATTAAACTAACAATATTACTTATAATTATATTCTTAAAATCTATTAATGTTTTTTTTAAAAATAAACTAATTAAATTCTAATAAAAAATAAAATATTTTAAAAATATGAATTGAAATAAACATAGTTATAAAATCAATAAATATAATGTTTTTATAAGACAACACACATAATTTTATTAATAATTTATTCTATTAAAAATATATGATACTTTAGTTTTAAAATTTTGTTTAAAAATAACTATAGTTTTTGAAAAAAAAATATGTAACATATTTTCAAGTAAATTGAATTTTTCGAAATGACATAATCAGTACTCGATTACCTTAATATTAAAGGAATGTTTATTAAAAAAAATCTATCAGTCATTTAAAATATCTTTTAATATAAAAATTACCAAAACATTAAATGTTTTAGAAGTAATAATTTCTATTGTTTAACCAGGCCAAATTATTATCTTCACCTTAAATTGGCCGTGTTGAAAAAAAAAACAATTATAATGATTATTACAAGCAAAGTTGAAGTCCCATGTCTGGCGCGTAGACATTAATGTGGACAACCGAGGATACACAAACAGGGGAAGACAACCCTTGTTGTCTCTGTTTTTTTCTTAAGCTTAAACGTCGACGTCGATACATACATAATATATATATATATACACACACACACACACTTGTAAGAGGGAGTAACTTCTCCATGTCCCATTGTTGACATGTGATGTATCAGTCAGGTCATAACCCATCTGAGCTTCGCCCGTTACTATTACCAGTCAGGCCATAACTTCAGCCAGTTTCAGCTTCATCTTCATGCTTCCGACTTGAACTAAGATTTCTTTCTTCCTTTCCTCGACCTTCAAAACAGTTGCAGATTTTCCGAGAGAGGAGACAAAAACCGAGCCGCCGACTTCAGGAAGCTTCTTACTTCCCTCTGCCTGAGCCTCTGAGAGCAAAAAAAAAAAACAGTTTTGATGTCAAAGGCCAAACAAGAGCATGAGAATCTAAAAGGTTGATCTTGTCTGGTCTAGTACCTGAAGTCCTTAGTTTGACAACTTGGGCAGATGATGATTGTGTTGCTGTCTTTGCAAGAGTGACCCTTTTATCTGATACAGAATCTTTATCCTTTTCCATGGCTACTTTCAGATGGGTTTGTGCATTTTCGCTCAACCGAGAAGCACGGAACTCTTGCAGTTTTCTGCGAAGCGTAGAATGAGCTATCGCTCCAGCCTGAGATAGTTGTTGTCTGATCGTTAATCTCTCTCTCATGACATGGTCCTTGATGTTCCTTTCGGCGATCAATAGGTTCTCATGAAGCTCCCGAGAGAGTCTAGGATCGAAAAAAAAAACATAAACGTAAAAGCTCATTAGCAAGTACAATAATAAGTGAATCTATCATTACAAGCTCCTTGCCTTTGCGTTAGAAGATTTTTTGTTTACCGCACCTTAGATAACGATGTGAAGAGTTCAAAAGCTTGTGGAACTCTTGCTTGAACCGTTCCATGTCTACGATGACCTGCGCAATAAGAAGTCGATGTAGAAAATGTAACATGCCATCCTGGTCTCGGGCGTGGATGGGAATAGCTACAAATGCCAAATAGATTTAACTCGTGACAACTTCTGCAAATCACCTCGTTGATCTCTGCACTTGCAGAACCGTAGAGTTCACGGGCACCGTCTATGATGGCATGGGGAAGTCCCAATCTCTCAGCTATATTTATCGCATTCGAACGACCTGACAATAATTTTCAAATTCAGGAATTGAATCCCACCCATGTTTCAGAAAGTGTCTAAAGAAGAAGGGTATAAGCCAATTCATAATAAAGATTAAAAAAAAGAAGCTGAAGATGAACATGTAGTTGAACCTGGAACTCCCCATAATATTTTATAAGTGGGCTTTAAGTTAACGTCGTCGAATTCCATGCAAGCATTCTCAAAGGCAGGATTGCTGCAGAACAAGCAAAAGGACTGTGCTTACAAAGTTATGACACTGTAAAAAAAGTTGCTGCATCATCCAAAATAGTGAGGGATTTGCATGTTATAAACCTGTATTTAAGCGTCTTAAGTTCTCCATGATGTGTAGTTGCCATTGTCAGGAGAGCGCCATTTCCAGCAAAAGATTCGAGAAGTGCCATTCCTAGTGCTGCTCCTTCAAGCGGATTTGTTCCTGCCCCTACCTGCGAGTAGCAGAAGAATTTAAAAGTTGATAACTTTTTGCCTTAGATTCCCTGAATTGTATCGTGAAGTTTGAAGAATTTCTACAAGGAACCAGAGAAAGGCTTATGTCTAGCTTACTTCATCAAGCAGCACAAGTGACCTGCTCGTTGAATGTGAGAGAATCTCCTGCAAAGTTCATACATCAAAGTAAAAAGGTTTGTAAGGATCAGAGAACTGTACGAAGATGTACTGTACACATCTTCCTGCCGTTGATGAGTTTTCATAATGAATGATCCTTCTATATTTGCTTTCGTAGGCCAAAACCCATTCTGCAAATATCATGTGACGAGATTATACAATGATACAACGACCCTCGATAGATTTGCCTTTGAAGGCCAAAACCCACTCTGCCTTTTCTCAACTCTCGCTGGTCTTGATTCCTTAGAAACCATTAAAACAAGCGACTAACGAAAATAAGGCAAAGCTTTCCTTGTAATGAAATCATAGTTACCTATCCATCCACTTGATTACAAAGACAAAGCTAAGATGTTTGTTAAGGCAGCCAAAGGAACATACTTACACTGATTTGCTTAAGGTGGCCTGAAAATGTAGATAGCGACTGCAAGAGGGATTGCTCATCGCCAATGTCAGCGTAAACATTATCAAACCAAGGAACTCGTGCAGATTCAGCCGATAGGACATGAAGACCTACAGAAGCGATAAATAGCATTAGTCGAGTTTAAAGGTAAAGTCACAATTCTAATAATATTGATTGAAATGTTTCCTGGAGGGAAATGCTTTTCTGATTGTTCATAACAATCATTTGGCAGATGCAAAGAACAAAAGCAATATATGCAATATATCTCAGATACTTGCATTCTTGTTTTGATAAATTTACAGATCAAGTTGAAAGAGAAGAGAGTTTAGAGCTAACCTGATTTTGCCATCATAGAAGCTAATCCTACTGATTTTAAGCCAATAGTTTTCCCGCCCGTGTTTGGACCTGTAATAACCAACACTCTCGTGCCCCGAGAAATAAGGAAATCAACTGGAACTGGGGGAGATTCTTTGACCATATCTGCCTGAAAATCAATCACACATTGTCTTCAGCTTATACATATCTGAATCTTGTCTAGAATACAAAGACAGAGACTGTTCATCAGTGAACTGAAACAAGATTTGACAAAATCATTAACTTTGCCAAGCTATTGAGAAACTTTGTTTTTTTTTTTGTCATTTCGCTTTCACATACAATGGTTTCTCCGGGTGGTCACAAATAACTTTTACCATTTTATCATCTTTATCACTCTTCCGCACCTTCCTTCTTGTTTTCTTGTATTGATGAAGCAGTAGAGGGTGATAACATCTAGGTAGATACAGCAACCATTCTTTTCTTGGGCGTGGTTCCTCTGCGAAGTTGTTCTCTGTTGAGTAGTCTGTCTCTGACAAAGATCCAGCTTCATCTTCTGGCAAGTATATATCAGGATGTGTACCGCCATATGAAAGGCTATAAATGGCTCGAGCATTTATCTATTCAAGAGCAAAACCAATAAACAAATTCTACATCTTAGCAACAAAATATGATTCAGCCCTTATAAAGATGCTGAGAGGAAGCTCCTGTTGTTGGAACTGGTTGCAATGAACTTTCTTAGAAACAACAGAAAGACAATGTCGGCTGGAAATGAGAACTGATTGTGAGAAATGTAACATCAGGCAAGAATACAACGGAAGCCTATGAACAGCCATGAGTATGGCTCCTATTCGAGTATATATGCTTAACTTATCATCTCTTATAGAAATTGCAAAAAAGATTTGTTTTTGGTTATTGCAACAAGATTCTACTGTCAAACCCAGAATCTTACCACGTCCAGCTGAATTGAGCAGCTTAAGACTGCCTCGATTTCATCAAGATCCATTTGCATCTGAGTTGCTTGCATCAAAATATAAAAACCGGTCAAGCAGAAATTCATGCAAGAAATTCATCCCACCATAAAATACCCGTTACCTTTTCAGTTAGCCTTGAGAGGACATCTGCCTCAGCCATTGCCACTGATGCTCTTGCCCTTTGCAATTCATCGTTCAAAGGGACTGCAGCTATTGGCTCCATAACACTCCCTGCACCTGAACCACTGTGGCAAATATTACCTTCAAGAGACCGAATTTAGTAAATCAATCAATAGATAAGCATTAAATTCTTTGTAACTCGGTATATGGCACTATTGAACCGTAGTTGAGAGAAATAATTGATAGCTTATAGCTGAGAATCTAAAGTTCAGATTTACCTGGAAAGCAGGAGACCATTGAGAGATGTTAGCTCGTTTGACCCTGTTCGTATACAGCATCTCCCCCCAACATCAGTCACCTCCTGGATGATTTATGGAACGATGAAAAGGGTAAATTTCACTACGGTTAAAATGGATGCATACACAGGATTAGCTCTTTTTCCGACTTCACTTGATTCAATGAAAGGGTAGGTTTACCAAGTATACTTCATCCTTTTGGCTCCTTATGATAGCATCCATCAGTTGATGCAACTGAAGGGAGAGACAATGACAGGTTTTTAATTCAGAACTACTTCAGGAAACATAAAGGAAAACATTGATCGATACATGTTTAAGGTAGAAAGATATCCTTTGGTTTCAAAGCTGCTGTTTTTAGGGAGATAATGTATCAAACCAACCTTTCTTTCAAGAGTCCTCACTCGATCACGTGATTGTTTCAGGGCAGAACTCTAAAACAAGGAAAAGGGAATTCAAAGAAACATAAGGATCACACCATTGAAGGCTGTAACGAACTAATACATACAAGAAAAGGGACAGACCGCAGAATCTCTAATAGAACCGTCCTCATCTATAACTTGCTGGACCATCTTGATCAATGATCTGTTTATCACTGGTTGCAATATCTACGAGCAATGCAGGAAGCAAAAGTGTGAGGCCACAAGGGCAAAGATCATAGTCCTTGAAAAATACAACACTGAACTTAGGCAAAATGGCAAATACCATTTTAGAGAGAGGCATAAACCGTTTGTACCAGTCTCCATCTTGCTTGATGGCTGCTTTCAGAGTCAGCTGTAACGTTTCAAAGAATTCAAGAAGAGAAGCTACGGCGAGTGCTTGGTCCGCTTGTAAAGATAATCCTCTTCTAGGATGACGAATGCCTGACTCAACCTTCACATAGAACAGAGAGAACATTCCCAAATTGCAGAAAATCATTGTGTCTATCTAAATTGTGACAACCATTGACAACCAGTAGAAAGAAACAAAGTGCAGAGATAACATCCATGAAAATGGAAGGTGGTAAAAGGGCAAACCAGAGAGAGGTTAATGCTAGTGAGGTCAAGACAAAAGGAACCATGTTCACGCATTTGAATAGCAGCATTGGTTTCATCCAAAAGCTTCAAACTTTCATCGAAATTCTGGTCAAGAGACCAAAGCTGAGTCTGCAATCAACAATAATACCCTGTCAGCCTGAGCAAAAACTAGGGCTAAAACCCAAAAAGAAAAGGAAAAAGGAAGAAGAGAGAACCTAAACCTTGGTAGCTTCACGACCCAGAGAAGTGCGGGCAAAGGAAGCGACGATGTCACACAACTTGTCCCATTCCAACACTCTCAGAGTATCGGACCGAACATTGGACTTTGCCCGGCAACCAAAAGAAGACGAAAACGACGACGACGAAGAAGAAGAGAAGAATCTGAGAGGAAAGCTGCTTCTGATAGAGTTTCTTACAACAAAGGCACAGTTGCCGGAAACCATGGGCGAAGTTAGCTGCATATTGTTTTTTTCTGTGCTGTGATTTTGAAGTTTCAGACAAGGCGTGGCTAATCCATTATCTCATATGAGGAGTTGGCCGAAGTTCGAAACTATTTTAGCATCTGCACAAATCTCACATCTTATCCCCGTTGATCCTCGCACTTGGATTTATAGCTTTTGGAATCTTGCCCTCGAATTATGCCGGATTTGAATCGACAGTTTCACATCTGAACACGGATTGGATTGGATTAAGATAAGCTGCAACTCTGTTTCAAATGTTTTTTAGGCCGATTTTGCTCCACGTAGCGTCAAATAGGAGCGGTCGCGGGCCGGTTATTCGAATTTTTCGGTGTACTTGATCTTGATCTCATTCTCTCAGTTCTTCGGTCGGACTATGTAATTTAGGTCTTGTGGGAATGGATTGGGCTTTGGGTTCCGGATATCTGCGGATACCAAGACTAGGGGGACATGCGAGCCGAGGGCGAGGACTCGGATATCTGCGGATACCAAGACTAGGGGGATACGCGAGCCGAGGGGAAGCCAAACGAGAGGGAGTCGGAGTGAGGCGAGGAGAGAGGCGTACCTGTCCGAGAAACGAACGACAAGGCGAGGGCGAGCGACGAGGCGCAATTTCTAAATCGCACGCCCTCTCGCGAGCCACAATGTTCTTTAAAACAAAACCCTAAAAGCATTTGTTTTCAACCATCTCGGCCTTAACCGCATGTCGCCACTGCAGCACCGCTCCAAAACAGTCGATGGCTCACCCTTTCTCCCCTCAGCTCGAATTATCCACAGATACAGAATCCAAACTCGAACTCGAAGGTTGGGTTCTCCCCGATGTCAAACCCATTCTCGACCTAACCTCTGGTCGAATACTCGAAATTCAGTTACCCACGCCCAACCTAGTTGTGTCAAACATGGGTTTTGTCTGCACACAACACAAGAAGCTGGCCAAGTTTATCATATGACGAAGTTCTGTTCCTGAGACTGATCCAAATTTCTTGTTCCAAAGAGTTCATAAATCGTAATGGATATTTCAGATCGTCGAAGTTCCCAACACAATGTGTATCTATATGGTGAATACAACAACATGATGAACATACAAGTGGGGACCAATGTTGAAATCAAACAACGACGATCACAGGGTGACGAGAGGCGCCTCGGCTTTGGCATCTTCGGCTGCAACCGCCTCTTCTTTCGGTGGCTCGGGATCAGCCGCAGGGGCTGC